CGGCTGTCTCTGAATCAACTGAGCAGAGAACTGTTGTTCTGAATAATGTATTGCCCCTTGTTGCATTGTTAATCCAGTAAATTAGTCTCAGGTGAGAAACATAATCTTTTTTTTTTTTTGCCTTTTTTACTTTTTTTTAAGGAAAAAGGCAGAATCAGTAAAAGATGCTTCAGAAACTGGATGGGAGTATTCTTCTAGCCCTGCCTAAATAGTGGGCAACTTGAAAGTAAGTTACAGGTCAAATTAATTTCTGGTGTAACTTACTGGGAATCCAGGTGCATAAATCGGAAAAAAAAAAAAAAGAATAACACAATGAGAAAAGAATAGTTCTGGCACAACACCTCACCGAGGGATATGAGTGGTGACTGTGGGTTGAATGTTGTTTGAAAGTACCATCAAAGGTAGATTAAAGTCAGGACTATCGGGAGAGGAAATGGATAGCTAGCACAGCGAGAGCAGTTACTCCAGGGGTTTTCTGCTGCTTACATGTGCACAGCTGGGGCCTCTTTTTTGGGGGTTTTTTGGAAGAGATGAAAGGTCATGTCAAGTTGATTTAGCGCCTACAAGTGCTATTGGTATGTTGCTCAGTCCCTCGTCTGTGAGGTAGAGAACAAGGAGCTTGCGCTATTTGCTCAACTGAAAAATGTGGGTTCCCCACCACCACCACCACCACCAAAGAGCATTTTTAAAAATAGGAATCTAGCCTGATGTGTATGTTTAAAAGAAACCTATTTTCACAATGACATCCAGGCTTCTCTGATTATAATATATACTCAGAATATCCCGAAACTTAAATCAGTTCTTAATCCCTGGTGAAATATACTTTTTAATGCATTTATTTTCCATTTTGTGGCACAAAGCTGAGTTCTTGAGTGTGTTATACACTACTGGGACAAGAAACGCAGTACAAAGAGCACCAGATACAGTAATTCCCTGCAGTCTCATAAAGTTCTGTACAAAAAGGTACAAATACTGGAGGTATTAAAGTTGGAAAACTAAACGCAAAGTTCTTTGCTTTTAAGTTTGCAATATGAAGTAGCTCATGCTATATATAATATGTGAGGCAAAAACAGTCTGCTTTCAAAATGGATAAAGTAGTCTGCAGGGAACGAGAGAATTCGCAACTGATGAAAGTAAGTAAATAATAAACCAGGCAATAATACAAAATCTGAACATACATAAAAAGCTTAATCACAATCTATGTATAGATTTTACATCTCAGGAAAATAATGTAACATATTGCTTCTCAAGGCAATATCCGACTCTCATAACAGCCTAGATTTGTACTAGAAATCAAGATTCTCTAACAGTTTATTCCTGGCAATAAAGTAGGTTGCCTCATTTGAAATATTACCATAATCCTCATTTGAGCAATTCAAAGCTCTCAGCCAAAAGAGAGTAGGAGCAGCGTTTTCACCGGTGCCGGGAAGGTGACCATCACAAGGCAGGAGGAACACATGCCAAGTGCAATGTTCTTCATTGAACTGCACATCCACAGTAAGCAGATTTCTGACCACAACAATTTTCAAGTTTCAAACACTGGAGAAAGTGGCCAATGGGTCCTCTCATCCTTCATTGCTGACCCGCTGTTTTATGGAAGTGAAGATGCCCTGCCACAAAACAGTGGTTGAAGAAGTCTGGCAAAAGTTCTGACTACTCAAAAAGTACATCACCTCTTCTCCTCGTTGAGGCTTTGGAGAGATTGAGTTTTTCCTTCAAAGTGTAAACATTTTCCTGTATCTTTAATTTATGAGAGATGAGGATTCTCAGCACTTACTGGCCTGAGCCCTAGAACAGAGGTTACTTCATAAAATGGCAGGAAGGGTGTCCCTCATTCTTCCTTACTTAGATATTTTGGGGGAGCTAAGACAACAACATTGCTTAAATCAGAACAATTGTTACCCTCCTCGGTGAAAAATTCTGTTAGTCATAAGCAAATATTAAAACTGCTGTACAAAGCAGTCACAATACTGTGCAATGCCAGCTCAAACAGATTAAATCTAAGCAGAAGTAATGCAGAAAAAAAGGCTACGTCCCCTAGGATGGACAGGAGAACGTGACCTGCAAAAAGAAAACTAAGAGGAAGCTTGGCAGGTATAATCCTGTGAAAATAAGCATGTAAGGGTGTATGGCTGCTGTCTATAAATACACCATGCATGCAAACGCTAAGAGGAAAATGAAATATTTAAGCTAAAGAACCGTGGTGGCATGAGGAAAAAACTGGTATAAAGCAGCCGTTAATAAAATTATGCTAAAAGTTGCACAGGCCTTGGAGAGCAGCGTAGCTCTGGAAAGCTTTTGTGGAGGAGGGGGGAGCAAAAGTCTGACTACTTTTAACATGGAGTTAGTTAAGTTTATGAAGGGAATTCCTGTGTACTGTGTAAAGTCATTGTCATGATAATAAGAACATATTAAATTTCAATACATTATTTATTTAGTGTCTTTGATCCGAAGCACTTATATAAAAAAGCAGTAATGAAAATTCCATTCAACCAGTACAATAAAAGTCATAATTCCTTGGGGTATTTCATTTTCTTTAGTAAAACGCAATTTGGACACGTTCCATTCAATATTTGCAGAAATGACAGAGCATCAGCCCTACGAATAATAATAAATCTAGGGCATAAGATAAGCTATAGGTTATTGGAATGATGTGTTGCAAAGTTTGGATCCAACCTTTGCAATGCTAAACTAGCAACAGCTGAGGGGATTTGTGGCTCTTTGGCAAGTTTACAGGTTTCTTCAAATAACTGCCCTGCAAGTCATTGGTTTTCAACTCTGTGGATCTACTGCTTGTGAAACCGAGATGAACCACTGCTTGGAGCTGGATTCTCTGAAGGTCCCCAGACCTAGTGAGAACTTGCAGTGTCCTTGGCATTGGTGGGAGAGTTTGCCACCCTTGCAGCATGTAGCCCGACCGGGGTGTAGGTGTGTGCTGTGCAAGCCCATCTCTTCCTTCCCATATTTCTTTCATGGTATTTCGATTCAACAGGCAACCTAGTGCTGTGCCGTGTTTTGGGTGGGTGTTTGTAGGCGTATGATAGTTTACACACATGCAATAAGAATCAGGGAGGAGACTATTGAATTTATGCCTGTGACCTAGCAGAGAACTTGAAGCAACCCTCCAGAAGTGAAAACCTTCACAAAATGTTTCAAGTTTGGACACCTAATTCGGGTTATCTAGGTCTACCTTCAGGGCCATGTATATGGCTCTTTGATGTTCAGGGACAGCGAGCAAGGTCTTGCCTATCAAGTTTATAACTTGTGCTGGCTATGTTGAAATCTCCAAGAGTTTTATTCAGTAAGGTTAGATGGGACCCCTTTCCCTCACACTTCATGGCCTAAAGCAACTCCTAACTGGTGTGAGGGGAGGGTGTTCAAAGCAAGTGTGTGTGTGTGTGTGTGTGCAGAAGTTATTTCACACTGTGTATTCTGTGATGGATCACTGGGCATACAGGAATCTGATCCTGGGTACTCAGCTTTCTGGTTTTAGGTGGAGCTGATACAGCAACATCAAAAGATCCAGACCAGACAGCAACCTCTAGGAGCCTAAAAAAGGGAATGACCTATTCTTACCATATTTGCTTTATTCTGCCAGTTGGGCCGCTCCTTGTTGTGGTATACAAACACAGGCTTCCAAACATGACAATTTTAGCTTCAGTATTTTAATTTCTCTTCTAACTAACTAGTCTGAATTTTTTTTCTGAACCTCTTTAGTTTTCACAAATAACAAAAAAAACAAAAAAAAAAACAAAAAAAAAAATTGGAACTTTATATGTAATAAATGGGATGGAAAAGCAGCAGGATCTGAAGAGAAATGCTGTTCTGTCCACTGAATGCCAATAGTTTGTTTTATAGCCCAGATCCCTAGAAGTATAAGGAGAGGGAAGCAGTGGCTTCTGCCCGATGATCCCTAGTGTTTGATCCCTATAAAATTGCATAAGGGAAGAGACTGAGACTCAAAAAATAAGTTCATGCAGATTCATGATGACTCTCGAAAACCCAGATGATCTGCTCTCTCACGTCTTTTTTTTTTAATTTAAAAAAAAAGTACAGACCATCCCTTGAAAGGATTTAAATTGACTACATCACAGAAGAAGGTAGGAGGATCTGCCCACGGTGAATGCAGTATTAAGCTCTTTTTCTTTATCTGTTCCTTTCTTAGGCCCTCATACTCTTCCTTAGCTGTAAGTTGTGAGTTCCTTTCTGATGGAAAATGTGACTTACAGTGTTTTTTTTTTTCCCCTTAGAATTTCTTGGCAGAAAGCTTAATGGAATTGTCTGCCGTCAACACCTGCTTTCAAGCTTTCTTGATAAAATTAGATTTTATATCTCAGCATCACATATGGCATCTTTATAATTAGTCTTTTTGCAGTATATGAATGTCAGTTCCTAACATGCTGCTTGTACTGTTCATGTGGGAATATTTCATTTCATTAAACAAATCCAAGTTTTTCATTGGAGCTTCTAATTGCTGAAAGCCCACGTTTTTGTGTGTCTAATCTCAGAACCATTTTGACGGACTGAAATACAGCGTATCTTCAGCTTCACTGGAACAGAGCTGTGTGCAGATCACTTCTGAAAATGGGAACCTGAGATGTCTTCATGGGCCTCCATACCTAAAGTCACTTGTGGAAATGTAGTCTTTGAATATGTAGCTGTCTGAAAATGAGGGGCGGGCTTCTTCAGAGGGCTCAGTATTGACCTAATCTTGGAAGCAGAGGTAGGTCTGTGCTTAGGAGCTTCTGAAAAATATTACCACACATAACATTTCAGAACAAGAACACCCAGTTTTTAACACAAGTGCTCAAGACTAAGCAAACTTCCATTGAAATGTGAAGCTCAGAGGTGTTTTCAGACATGTGACGATCAGAACTACCGGTCAGAAAGATAGAGAAAAGTGTTCTCACGTCAATGATTCACAGGTGATTGTTTTAAACTGTTGTAAAATGCATGGGAAGTCCTACACTAGTACAGATACCAGTATAGGTGATAGGTGATTTTTTCATTACTCGTGTCACAGCTGAGAATTTTTATTCCAGTTGGGTACGTTCATTTCTCTGCTCAGATGAGGAAATGCACAAAGCAACAAATCATCACTGTACCACTAGCGCTAATGTCGTGGAAGTGGTAACACTTGTATGGAAAAGTCAGCATTCAGTACCTATGCAACAGGGTGAAAATGTGCAAACTGTCAATTTGTAATAGAAATGTCTTTAGTTTCTCCAGTGCAAAGTTAGTGCAGTGTCGGCAACACTACCCTCTAGGAAAAAAGAAGACAAATAGGAAAACATTTATAAACATAGCTCTTGATAGCTCTCATGCAAACTGCTGTCAAACTGGTACACTAATGCAGTGAATCATTCAAGCTCAGCTCACTGGGGGTACTCCTGCTCATATTGGTAAGACTGGCCATAAGGGATTTAACTTTATAAGCATAGTAGTCCCTTAAGTTGACTGACGGAACTTCTTTCATGCCATCACCAAAATCACAGCTTCTCATGGCACTCTCTAACTGCTTCTGACGCCTGTAGAAGTGGGAAAATTTATTGAAGATCAGTGTAATGGGAAGCACTACCACTAGGATACCGGCTAAGATGCATGCAGATGCCGTCAACTTGCCAGCAGTGCTCCCTGGCACAACATCTCCGTAGCCAACTGTGGTCATGCTAACGGTAGCCCACCACCAACAAGCAGGGATAGTGGCTAACCCTTCATTCTCTTCTTTTTCAATGGTGTAAGCCACTACTGAGAAAATGGAGATGCCAACAGAGAGGTAAAGTAAAAGGAGCCCCACTTCTCTGTAGCTATACTTCAGGGTGGCTCCAAGAGACCTGAGACCTGTGGAGTGTCTAGCAAGCTTTAAGATACGAAAGATCCTCATGAGTCTCAGGACCTGTGCAACCCTGCCTAAATTTGCTAAAGTTGGACTACTTTCCACCACCAAGTTGACAATTAAGGTAATATAAAATGGAAGGATAGACATTAGGTCAATCAAATTCAGGGCATGCTTGAAAAATTTTAAAAAGTCAGGAGCTACTGCAAATCTCGCTACCAGTTCAAAAGTGAACCATGCAATACCAAAATGTTCCACGATTTCAAAGCGAGGGTCTTCCTCGGGGTTCCCGTTGCTGTCAACAATCTGAAAGTCTGGGAGGCTGTTGAGGCACATGGTCACAATGGAGCCCAGCACCACCACTATTGAAAGGACGCTGAAGATTCGGCTTAAGACTGAGTACCCAGGATTATCCAAAGCGAGCCAGAGCTGCCTCCTGATGTTTCCAAAGGGTTGTTTGTCAAATTTAGAGGCATCGTTGTAGAATGCCAAGATCTCATCAAAAGAAGATGTGGTACTTTCCTGGTCACTTTGTTCCTCCCATTTCTCTTGGTCTGGCTCCATTTTCCTCCCATGGTAGCTGTAACTGCAGCAGGAGTCTATAAAGAATTCATTGATTCCCCAATATTCAATCTCCTGGCTGAAAGAAAACACGCAGAGTTCGCCCATCACATGGAGCTTGCCGGTGTTATAAAAATGTAGCACGTAAGGAAAGAGCTCGGGGTTCCTGTCAAAATAAAATTCATTCTTGGTGTCATCATAGTCGTCGCAGAGCTCCAGTATCGACTCCTTTGAGTGGCAGCTCAGCAGTTTGCCCAGCCTGGTTTCAGGGAACCTTAATAATGTGTTGGACCTCATCTTTTTCTTAAAGCCTCCAACATTGATGCTGATCTCATTGTCTTCAAAATTTGCTTCAGATAAAGCCTTCAGACTCTGCCCTGTCATAGTGAGCTCCTTCCAAAGGTGTATAGGGAATGAAAACCTAGGATGCAATTGCACGGAAAATCAGCAGAATGAGCGAATCTACAGCATGTTCACCTATTGATGCTTTCTCTTCCTTCCTTCCTTCCTTTGTTTCTTTCTCTCTTCCTTCCTTCCTTTATTTCTTTCTCTCTTTCTCTTTCTCTCCTTCTCTCCTTCTCTCCTT